CGGGGCGCCCGCGGGCAGCGGGGGACGGAGGTGCGGTGGGCACCTCGGGTGCCTCAGTTTGGAATAAGGCCTCGTATCAAGAGAGGAGGGAAAATGCGTTTGGGAAACGGCGGGCGTAGAGGGAAGCAAAGGGAATCTGGCGCAAAGCTCGCTGAGGGCTCGCGCTCCTGCCTGGCCAGCGCTGAGGTGGCTTCTCCAGCCCCAGCTCCATCTCCTGACCACCTGGATGGGATTCGAGCCTGTGCAGGCTGCCCAGTCCTCGCAAGAAGACTCCTCGGTCCTAGCGGTGACAGGCGTGGACAGACAGACCCTCTCAGTACTCTGAATTCAGGACTGCCACGAAACGTGGCCAGGCCACGTGCATCCTAAGCGCATGGCAGACCATGGCAGCGCTGTGCTAGGGGGCCTGCAGAGCGAGGCGCCGCATCCCCAGGATGGTCTCTCTGCTCAAAATAGGGACCTGACCGCTGCTCTCGCCGTGGTGGTGGGGTGTCCAAGCTCTCCATCCTGCCTGGGGAGGAGGGCAACCCTACGGGGTGCAGCGGCAAGACTGCGTGGTCCCTGGGGCTTCCTCTCTGACACAGGAAGCAAAAAGTGGCTCCATGGGACATCTGCACCTGCTGTGGACAGATGTGTCCACGCTCCCAGACTTTTATTCACCCTCCAAAACTCGCTCTTCTTCCTTCCTCTAAACATAGCCAAAAAAGGACTGCAGGTGCAGGAGATGGAGTCATCACAACAGAGAACAGTGAGCAGCACTGGGTAGAGAATACCAGCCCCAAAGGGGGACTGCTGCAGGATTTTGAAGAGCTAGGCTGGTGTTCAGCGGGATCTGGAGCCCCCACTGGGCAGCTCTCTGATTCTGCGGTGCCTAAGCGGCCCGAAAACCCTAGCCCCTGGGAAGCCCACGGGCTTGCCTTCAGCAGAAGGGGTGCCTTGATTCCTGCCTCGGGTTGTGTTGGCCTCAACCACTGCCCAGCGAGCAGAGCTGGGCAAGCAACCACATCTCAAGCCCACACGAAATGCCCAGCATGCAGCGTAACAGCAAAGGCTGCCTACGGACCCAGCGGAGCAGCGGTCAGCAGCTTCAGTTGCCGTTTTAGTTACTGGAAAGCCAGGAAGGGATACCGGTTGGGCCTTCGCCTCGCTTTGCTGGTGCTTTATAAAGGGCTGGTGCTGGCTCCTCCTCAGCTGCAGCTGCTAAAGTGCAAAGAACCAGGTGCTACAAGAAACTCTCCTCCGGGTGCCTCCTCTGCCAGGCAGAGAGCAGCGACCGCAGGGGAGGGAGGGCAGGAGGGCGCCTGCGCTATGGAAATCCCTCGAGGTTCCCTGGGAAAGAGGCCGACGCCGCTGCTGCGGCGAGCGGCTGGGGCTGGGAAGGAATCGCGGCTGGTTCTGACGTCGGTCACTGAGCGGAGACGAGTCTGACCGGTGCGAGTCTAAGACTCGTTAGCCCCATTTTGAGAGTACCTGCAACCTCCCATGGGAATTATCACACTGGCAGCCCCACGGCTACAGGCCAGCAGCGACGTGCGGTGCTGGAAAGCGTTCAGCAGCCAGGCAGACTGTCGGAGGCATGCCGGGATACCGGCACCGTGCCAGCCCGGCGTCGTGGGACCGGTGCACCTAGGGCAGCGCAGGGTCTCTTTGCCCTGCCACGGTTCAAAAGCGTCCCATCGGCAGTCCTGGCCGGCTGGGTCTTCAGCGGACAAAGTGCTCGTACAAGGGAATGAGACGCTGCCGGACAACCAACCGACCCCTTCAGAGGGATTTCACCTCCCTAAGGAAACCTGGCGTTTTCCAGAGCAGTATTTTGTGTTGGGTGCCCCTATATATTCATACAGGCACACACATGTGGGCACCCACAAAAATGCACACATTGGCAGGTGTGCGCAGGGGTAAGCATGGAAAGATTTTCAGTAATTTTCCCCTTCTAAATATTTGGCTCAAATTGAGTAGCTGCAATTCCATTTTAGATGCTCACTCCAGATCTAAATATGTCCCTTTGCATTATTAAAAATTCTATAATGTGTTTTCCTGGAATTATATACCAACAGCACTTTGCATTTACATAGCTCTTTTTATTCTCAAAGCATTTCACAAACAACTGTGGGTTATTGTTTCACTGTTCATCTGGGCTTCTGGCCTGGCTTGGCCAGTGACTCCACTGTCTGCATGGCCAGCAGACCGGCAATCTTGAGAGCCAACCATGGGAAAGAGCATGAGAAATCCACAGGCAATGGACTGGGATGCTGTTTTGAAGCTGTTTTGTTTTTACGCACTGCATTGTATGATAGAGCTGACTTAAAATCCGATATCTTGCTCCTGCCGTTTTGGAAAAGTCTTTAGATGAGGCCAGCATCATCTAACTTTCTGAAGAATGGCCCAGAACAGCCTGCTTTACACATCAGGCCCACGTTATGCTTTGCGAAGGTGCGTTCTCTCTCTACCTTGGGTGGAATTTTCTAATGAAATGCATAAATACCATCTATGAAGTGGACAAAATAACCCACAAAGCCTTGAAACGAGCAGCTCAACCTGCTGGCTCTGAAAAAATGCCCTTTAGCTCGCCCCTGGTCTCCCGAGGAACATAGGCAGCTGTCGGGCTGAACTCGTGCGGCCCCACAACGCAAAGGCTTTTTTGCTTTATCAGGGCTACAGTGGCAGTGGGAAACATTCGCATTGAGTTACAAATACTAAATAGCCTAAGAAAAACAGGGAGATTGAAACAGTCATGAAGTTTATATTGAAACTATTTTAACTCTGCAGTATGAAGTCACCTACAGCTGCTTCATTCTTCACCTAAGAGACGTTTCATGTCAATGGGCATAAATGCTCACAGAGAAGTTTATATGGTGAATATTTCTTACAGGGCAACAGCCCAATCTTCTTTTTTACAATGATTTCCACGTTAACATGGATCTGTTTCAAAAGTGATGTCATTGAGATTGAAGACAATTATAAACCGTATCAACAATATGTACTACAGCCTGCAAGTCACAATCTGTGCACACCAAATGGAGTATATTATTGCTTGTTAGCCTATTAGACTTTCTTTATAAAAAGATTTTTATACAGAGTACAGGATTATGACAAAACTAGCTAAGTAGTTTTCATCTTGAAAATACAACATCAATTTTTTTCAACAAAGGCTTGATTAGTAGCTGAGATTCAATCAACAATAACAAATATTTATTAATAGTTTTACGGTCAGTTTGAATAGAGCTTCCTATAGGACTCTTTTCCGGTGTTTATTTACATATGCCTCTTTTCTTTTGGAAAAAAGTTGATAAAATATAACAAGGAACATATAAATCAAAAGAATGAGTAAACTTCATACCAAGAACATTAAACATTTTTGAAAACACTAAATTATGTTATCTGTTAAAAAACATACATCATTTTGTCTTTAAAGAAAAATATTTTTCCTGTTTTAAAATATTACTAACAGCATGTAATAAACTAACTTAAAATGAGTTTCATAAAAAAGTTGTCTTGCTGTCTAAACATTACTAAACATGCTTAGGTTGAGATTCTGTTAACTGCCTCAACACCTTAAAAATAGCTCCTGTAGAGGAACTTGTGATATTCTGACTCCAGAAGACCTGCAAATTTAGAACAGTACATTGATAAAGGATCCAGTAGCTAGAAACATCAAATATATATCGCTATTCAAATAACTCTGCAATATTCTTTGAAACAATCCATGGCCAAGAAGCGGGGATGCGCTTGGCTAAACAACAAAGACGCGCGGCCCTTGCCCTGCCAGGGGACTCGCGGAGACCCGCGCGCGGGGCCAAGGGGTGCCCGGGGCTGCCCGCCCGGCTCAGCTGCAGGACGCGGCTCCACGACGCGGTCGCCGGACGAGCACCTTGCGCTGTCTCTACGGCAGCCCGGCTGTGACGGGGCAAAGAGAAAGCAACACCGGGAGACTGGGGAAGCAGCACGTTTTTGCCCGAACGTTTTCTGCCCTCCTCGTGTGCCAGGAAACCCCGCCGGGGAGGGACCATTCTGCTCGCAGTGCGGCTGCAGCAGCATTTCCTCACTTTCCACAATATAGCAATGACCGTGTAAGGCCCAGCTCACCACTTCTTCTGCGAGCGCTCCTCCCTCTACTACTAAAGTGTAGTATTTCATGCACAGAGTACAGGGAATCAACCTCGAGCTGGGCAGATGTTCATCTGCCCTCAGTCTCATCCCTCATCATCACTCACAGACACACAATATTACAATTTTTTTTTTTTTTTTAAGTCCCCCGCTCTAAAAAACTCTCTCTCCCCTTCCCTGACTATAAATAACAGTTAGATTCAGACACAAGAAAAAACTCAGGGCTTGTAAAGGGGACCAAAGTTTAGTTTTCAGCTGCTCGTCGCTTAGCAAACTGCTACTTTTTACTCGATCACACTGCCAATCGAAATAAGCATCAGATCACCTTAGACAGAAACTAAAAAAGGGTAGGTTTTACAAATACAAACTTTTCCAAGCCTGAGACCTGCCTGGGATGCTACACTGGGAGTCTTTAAACTTAGGGACAGCTAGAAGACTTCCTTTTTTTTTATTTTTTTCTTTTTTTTAACTGTAATTTGCCGTGGCGGGTGCAGGAATCACGGGAATGAATGAAGTAAGAATTGAGAGCGGACGCTGCCGTGAAACTTCACTGGCCTCAAACTCCGCGCCCCGCGTGCGCTCCCCGCAGCGTTTCTGCGAGCCTGCCTGCTCGGCCAGCGAGGACCAGCCCGGCTTGCCAGGGCGAGCGGCTTTGCCCCGCGCGGTGCCCAGAGGCTCCAACATTCACTTACTGCAGGAAAACGCCACATGGAGATGACTAGAAGCAAAGCGCGAATCACTGGGCTGCAATCACCAGGCAAAAAAGGCAGAAGAAAACAGCACAGAAGCAGACCGTTAAAACTGCCTCCAAATTCCAGAACTTGGGAACAACGCAAGTAGAAGTGTAACCTTTTTTTAACCTGACAATGACCTTTGAGCGTGATTAAAAACATAGAGAAGATGGTCCTCAATGTTAAATAGTCTTATTTCAACTAAACTGATCATGTTCAAGCTTGCAGAGTTGTTGGAGGGGTAGGACACAAAAAGATATATTATGCTTATTAGGCATAGAGGAATTCAGCTTTTCAATAGACAGTCACTAAAGGAAGTTTTCTGAGGGAATTTTTTTGGCATGTATAGTCTCCTACTCCCCCCGTTAAAGACTATAAAAATGCTGCACTCGTACTTTTGGACATAGGAAAAACATGATTAACTAGATATTACATGTAGATAACGTCCAAGCAAAATACTAATTAAAGTTTTTAACATAAGACAGAACCCCTGTTACTCAGTTACTAGGTTTGGAATGTATCTGTAGTTCTCCACAGTCCTTTTAAAGACAGAGTTATTAAAAGATCCAGTGCTACAAACCACTAAATCTACCTAATCTATTCTAGTTCATACACATATTGTACAATATTGCCTAGTACTCACTACATACCAAGAGGAAAAAATGCTGACTGGAATTACAGTAAATGTGCTTTTCTTTTTAAATAAGAAAAAAAAGAGAGAGCGCCACAACATAGTTTGACCAGCATGCAATAAACTTTCTTCAGTTAATATATAGAAACTGCCTAATACGATTAGAAAAAATAATTAGTGAGAGGCCAGAGACATATTTGATCAAGGAAATTAAGAGCTTTAACTGAAATGTTGAAGCTTTTGCCACTTAAAAAAAATCTTCACTCTATGTCCCTTCTCCTCCTTTCCTCCCCTTTATATTATACCATTTTGTTTTACAGAGACTATTATAAGGCCTATTCTATTTGCACCTATCCTGTAATGTATCTCAAAATAATTTAAAACGCCATAGACAAGCTAGGACCAAAAAGCAACTTTTACCATCCACTCAACACTTACGCTTTTATTCTAACAAAGCTGAGGTCCACACGCAGAAACGAGTGGTCAGTATGCCTCGATGTCAGGTGGTCAAGGTTCTGCTAACTCCTACATGTGACATGGGACCTTGACTTTTAAATCACCAAGTAAAACATCCCCAAAAGCTTATTTTGAGACAGCAGTCATCGAATCCTCATTAAAAATTATGATAAAATTAGCAGAAAAGGCCTATCAACAGGGAATCTCTGAAGATTCTCCATTCTTTTGGATAATAAGTGTTTTCAACCAAAAGGTTTTAACTGTTTAGCACGTGATTTAGCACGTGACTCTGTTGACAACAGCTGCCACAGCTCGGCAGCTCAGAGAACGTGCTTTACTGGGTTACCAGACACGACTTGCTTACAGTTAGCGTTGCATTTAAATTAACAAAATATACATACTGTGACCATCGTGTCTTCCGATTCCTCAACCACTACCGCTCCATACTTGGGGGATAGCTTCTCCTCTTTCAGGACACTTGACAATGCTTGTACTACTGAGAACTAAAGCAACCTCCCTTGCTTCCTGCAAGGAGGGTTATATGCTCTCCAGCACCCTCTTTGTCAGGTGATAACCTGAGGTTTCTCTCTTCTCCACCCCCAGAAATCTCAATCTCCTTTCCTGTAGCAGAATACATCAGTCCCGCTTCAGTCCATAGCACAACAGGAAAGGCAGCATCTCCAGAATATATGTACCGGTACAAAGGAGATGGATGAAAAGCAGGAGATAGAAGACATCGCGACTCAAGGATGCACAGCGACAAGTAAGGGAGTCAGTAAATCGCAGAACGTTGTATCTGACAGTATAATTTGCATCTCAAGCTGCAAGTCTGATGTTCAACTCCCACTTCTGGTATTTTTTTCTCAGCAAAATTGCAGCTAATGAGCCTGCTAAACTCGAACTCCGCTCAAATTGCCTGGTCTAAGTAGGCTCTACTTATTCTCCCACCTAGTATGCTTCATCAGCAGTGTTAGACAAGTAACGCAGAAAAGACACTTGCTGGTAATTTGGCACAGTTTGAAAACATAGCAACAACAGTTTTACAGTTAACATGATTCAGCGGTGTGGAATTTTATAATAGAGAAAGAGTTGCAGTTTTCTTTCTTTCTTTCTTTCAAGAACAAAGATCTTATAAAAAACATTATGCTTCCTCTTAAACTTTCTGCTCCTGCTCTTTTTAGGTCAGGTACTGGCTTCTGAATTTTTCAGGTGCTACCAGAAGGAATCCGTATTAGAAATGTGTAAGATACAAAGCTAAGAAAAAATGCCTTCCTTGCTCCCCCCACATTCTTTAAAATGCTGCAACTTTCCAGAGTTAATACTGATCTGAAACAAGGGTCCAAGAATGACAGCGAGAGAAGTGAAACAAGAGGTGTACGTCTAATTTGACAACTAGGACTCATGCCCCATGGCACCTCCTCCTTGGATGGAGAGGGTACAGCACCCTCCCCCTCGTCTTCTGTCTAAGGTCACTGGTTTATCCTCCTCTTCCAGCTCCACAAGAACTGATTGAACATGCATTGCGCTTGAGGTCAGAGTTCCAGCAAACAAAACCTTGACAGCATGTTTAAAAAACAAAAGCAGTTCCCCCTTCCTTACTCACTAAGACCTGTCACAGCAGGGTCCCACCGTGCTCTCCAAGGAAAGCTGTGAGGACTGACGCAGGAGCGGGCCTGTAGTGGGATCCACCATCGAGGAGGTTGGGAAGAGCTTGTACCAGCCAATTGCTAAAGTTGACAAATCCAGTTCTTCCAGGAGCACCCTGGCGACTCCCATGAAGTGCTTGCGCTCCATGCGTCCGTAGTTTCCCCAGACTATCACCTTCGAAACAAGACGGGGGAGCACGGTTAATTCTCCAACTTGCACACTTGCTTTGGAAGCACAGGTCTGATCAATCCTTCTATTCTTTCTACTCCTCCTTTTCCTTCTATGCTTTCTGTTTATCCAGCTTCCCTGACTTTTAAAAGGCCGTCCATGTTCTACATAGTGCAAGACACCAACCTACTCGATTTTAGAGACAGCCAGTTAAATATACTAAGTTAAATTAGCCATCATGTTTCCGAATAATAGAGCCTGAGATGAGCAGAAAGATTTACACCACAATAGGTATATATATTGGGCTGTCAGTGACCTGAAGCTTTGGCTAATGGTTTTGCCTTTTTTTTTTTCTCTAATCAGTTTTACATATCCTAATATTATTAGATGTTTTTCCCCATAAAAAAGAGCTGGATGCATGTGTGGATGCAAACGCTGTTCCGCTGCTCTACAGCAAACTGCTGCGCAGGGCCAGCGTACACACAAAGTATCTGTGTCTGTTCTAGCTTTAGACTTAATCAGTCCTTCTTCCACTGCATTTGCAAAAGACTCACTCGTGTTGCACAAAACCAGACATAAAACTTCTCATTTCCCCATCTGTAAAATGACAGCAATGACAATTTCCATCTGCTACCCTTGTGTCTTCAGACCCAGATCCCACAGGTTGGTTAATATAAAGTGACCCCTGTGCTTGAACAGAGGTATGCAGACTGGGAAAAGGCCACCATGTGAGGCCACCATGCAGACCATTTTGTAATCTTCTCATCTCTGAATCTCACATTCGATTTTGCAGTGTATCTCCATATAGCTTCAGAGGGGTCTCTGGGCTCTCATACACAACATGCATGCGCAACAACAAATGGGGATCAACATGGGAAGCGGTCATTTCAAAACAGTTCTGCCCAAATCAAAACATTTTATTTTGTTAAACAGAATCTAACGTATTCCTCTGAGTCCGTTCAACACAAAATTCATCCATGTGCAGAAACTCACAGCAGGGCCCTCTAATGAAACACACAGTGCATCAGGAGAGCAATGCAACCACAACGGTTTCCAGAGCTTTATCATCTGATTTGGTGTGAAAAGAATTGTCAAAGTACTGCAATTTCCTGTATGACAAACACCAATTTTTCGCTTAGTTCTAGTAGCTGCTCTTTATAGGCAATGTGATGGGACAGGCCATTTCAGATATGAAATTCTTGAGTTTTATTTCTTCCTGAAATTTATTTTATTCCTGAAATTTTAACAAAATCTCCAAGTTAAAGATTTTAATGCATCTGTTTCACTCCATCTCGGAACAAGACTCTTTGCTGGACACTAAATTACTGACTGTGTCAGAAGAGACAAGTGGTCTGCGATTCAAGCATGTATTTAGGAGCACAGGCAGGTTCCTGGCCAATATTCCCTTTTTTTCTTTTAATTCAGCATAAGTTTGTATTTCAGAACTGCAAATGCTGGGTTCAGAGGCGAGCCTCCTTCAACTTGTTATTTTTTTAGCCCTTTGACATTAAAAAATTTCAACCCTTCTAAATTTTAATTTTAAGCCCTTTTGAGAGGTGGAAGTCAGTCAATTTTTTCCCCGTAACATCTGCTGAAGTAAGAGCAAACTGTGCTATGAACTCTTCT